GAGCCGGGGCTCGAACCGGCAACCTTCTGATTACAAGACGAGCTGCCAACTCTTGAGCCACGATCGCCCCCATTAATACCACATATATGTTATTGAAAGCACAGTACATATTTTAGCACAAACATGTCTTAACAGCCGGGGTTCCCTTAAATAAGCATGAATCTCTGGCTGCTGATTGGCTGTTAAGTTTAAAACTGTATTTAAACAAAGTCAAACCTGAGGATGAAGCTCGATGTGAGGCATGTTGTTGGTTCAGGTTATGTGATGATGTCACACCTGAGGAACAATCACCTGTTGGTCATAAATGGTGTCTAGCTCTCACCTGGGGTGGCTGTAGCTGAGGAGCAGGTCACCTGGTCTCACTCAGAGTGTGGTGGTTCGATCGCTTGCTGCTCCAGCCTGCCTCCCAAATATCCGTGGGCTAACCCCATGTTGCTCTGCGATGCGTCCAGTATGAATTGGCGTGTGATTGTTATGCTCCCTGTCTTTATAAGAACCATTTACTTGTCCTCTGCAGGTACTCGCTGTGACGAGTGCTCGCCTGCTTACTATGGAAACCCCGAGGAGGCGGGTGGGCAGTGTCAGCCGTGTCAGTGCAACAACAACATTGATATGCTGGACCCCGAATCGTGCGATGCCCGGACCGGTGAGTGTTTGCGCTGCCTGTACCACAGCGAGGGTGCCGCCTGCGAGAGCTGCATGCTGGGTTACTATGGCAATGCCCTACTCCAGGACTGCAGGAGTAAGTATGCTGGGGTTACCATGGTAACCACATTCACAGAATCAGGCAAACGATCGTCGCTGAACCTTGACGGTTGTGTACCCGCAGAGTGCGTTTGTAACCGGCTTGGCAGCGTTCCCTCCAGCTGCCCGTCCTCTGACTGTCACTGTGACCGCAGCAGTGGTCAGTGTCACTGTCTACCCAATGTGGTCGGCCAGCATTGCGACCGCTGCGCACCTGACACCTGGAATATGGCGATGGGCACCGGTTGTCAGACCTGCGACTGCGACCCCAAACACTCATACGGGACATCCTGCAATGAGGTGAGCAGCCCCTGGCGATTAACGGACCGAAAGTCCTCGAGGTGAAAACAAATGTTGTATTTCATTAAAGGTTTGTTGTGTGAGCTTTATAACCGCAGATCTGATGGAATTGTACTTCTGTGCTCCGTCAGACCACACGTCTGACTGTAGTTTGTTTGTTCACAGATCAGCGGTCAGTGTTCCTGTCACACCGGCTTCGGAGGAAGAATGTGTAGCGAGTGTAAAGAACTGTTCTGGGGAGACCCTGAGATCAAATGTCACGGTAGGCTTGCCATGCCATGTGCTCGTGAGACGGCGTGATAGATGTGATGGTGTAATAAAAAATAAAGCGGACTCTTTTGAGTTGTCAGTGAAGCTCTGAGACCTGGAACAGAGTCCCGATCTGTCAGGCCCCAGGTCAGAATCCGGTTCAGAGTTTCGGTGCAGAGTCTGGGACTTGTTTCTGACTGAGATCAAACTGCAGACGCTTTTATTGTGGGATCCTTTCAGCTCCCAGCATCCTCGGCTGCTGCAGCTCAAATTAAACCCAGATGTTTTGAGGCCCAGCTTCCACAGAGATGGGACCGGTCTGTCCGTCTCAGCCTCCAGAAGTCCACAAAGACGCTTTGTTCAGTAAAGCTGAAGGTCAGGAGGAGGAGGTCTTACAGAAACAAGGAGAAGAGAGGAAGAAAAGCAGAACTGAGACAGCAGCCTGGAGGAACACAATCAGTCCCTTTGTTGTTTTTTTTTATCAGTTCACATGAGAGAGTAGCGCCCTCTGCTGGAGATGAATTAAACAGCAGTGTAGACACTGTGTTTCCTTCAGGTTCTTGAACTCGTCTCCTGTCAGAGCCTTCGGACAGAGCTCCACATCAGTCATCCAGACTAACCCTAAACCCTGTGACTCTCTGGCCTTTGAGGGCTTGCCTGGTCAGAGTGAATCAAATTTAAAAAAACAAACATTAGCCTGAATTTGTTGCTCCTGCAGCAGAATAAAGCTTCACATGTTTGATTGGAGCCAAATGCTAAACACATGTTCTTAATGTGCAAACAGGAAGTCACTGTGAAACTGTGCTGGAGTCAAGCGTGTTTTTGTACTTGAGTGCGTCTCCTGTAGTCTGCCCTGCAGACTCTCATTGGTTATTGTTCTCGTCTCCTCAGCCTGTGACTGTGACCCTCGTGGGATCTCCGAGCAGCAGTGCAACAAAGTCAGCGGTCACTGCATGTGCGTGGAGGGTGTGTCCGGGCCGCGCTGCGACACTTGCGCTCGCGGATTCTCAGGAACTTTCCCCAACTGCAGCCGCTGTCACCAGTGCTTCGCCGAGTGGGACAACATCGTTGGCCAGCTGACCAATCAGACACACCGCCTGGTCAACAAGGTAAACGCCCTCAAAGCTAGCAGCGTCAACGGGCCGTACAGGAAGTCCATTGAAAGCATGGAGAGGAGCGTTGCCGACATCCAGACCATCCTGGATGGGAATCCGGCATCACAACCGCTAACGGAGATCCAGGAGCTGCTGCAGGAGGCCAGGTGGGATTGCATTTATCCTGATTAATCTGTTTCTCTCAGACTCGGTCACCAAAAAGGTCAGGAACACCTTCTCTAAGTGCAGTCTGACAAATTTACACCAGAAAAACAGATACGCTGTTCGAGTGTCTGTCGACCACTCTGCTGATCTCTGACCGTGCTGATGAGACCTGAACATCAGCAGAGGTGATAGAAGTACAGACATTCTGTACTTAAGTAGAAGTACAAATACTACTGTTAAAAAATACTGCAGTAAAAGGTGAAGTACTGTTTACCCTCCTTACTGTTGTCTGTTTTCATGATTTCAGACATCGCAGCTGGAATTCAATCAGTTTTCTTCTCTGACGTGAGCTAATGATCGGCTATGTACCACAGGCTGGCTGCAGTTAAACCTTTACTCAAAAAGCATCTCTAGACCCAGCAGTCTTAGCTAATTATAGGCCAATCTCCAACCTTCCTTTATATCAAACATCCTTGAAAGAGTAGTTGTCAAACAGCTAACAGATCATCTGCAGAGGATTATTTGAAGAGTTTCAGTCAGGTTTCAGAGCTCATCACAGAAACAGCTTTAGTGAAGGTTACAAATGATCTTGTCTCACTTATATTTCCTCTGTATAACTGAGACATGGTTAAGGGCCGGTGAGTCCAGCGCTTTCACAGATCTCTTACCGGAGGACAGCTGCTTTTTAAACTCTCTTCAAATATCAGGCAGAGGAGGACAACTAGCGGTTGATTTTAAGAAGCAGTATAAATGTAAACCACTGCCCTCATCAACATCACCTAGTAGCTTTGAACTGAGTGTGTTTGAGCTGGGTCGCTCTCACACAGAGCTCTGTGCTGTGGTTTACAGACCCCCAAATACAATCAAGACTTCTTAAATGACTTTTCTGATCTGTTGGCTGAAATTATGCCAAAATATGATCGTGTCCTTATTGGTGGGGACTTATTCACGTGTGCTGCCTCGACAAGCCAAAGGCAAAGGACTTTTTAAATCTACTCTTGATCTTGTGCAACCTGTGTCTGTGCCTACACAAAAATATGGGCACACGTTGGGTCTGGTTTTAACTCAGGATTTACCTGTCTCTAACCTAGAGGTTTGGGACATGGTCGCATCATAAGCCTGTCTTGTTTGAGGTTTCCCTTCCTTGTACCAAAGTTAATCCTCCTCCTGTTGTTGCTCGGTGCTGTCCTATTTTGAACCCTTCCTCTGGTTTTACTCAGTCTGCCAAACCGTTTTAGATTCGGTGGCCCCCTTTAAGCTTAGGCAAGTTAAAGCCAAATCTGAACCCTGGCTGAATGAAGTGTAGGAGAGCTGAATGTAAATGGGAGAAGGATCAACTTCAGGTGTCGTACCAAATATTACATAATTACTGGAATTTGTATCAGAAACATTTTGCTGCTATTATTCAGGCAAACTGCCGTAAGCCTCGTGCTTTATTTAAGACTATTGGCAGGGTCCTTCATGCTCCACAGACGGTTGGTGTCGCTGGCACAGTCTGTTGAACCAGTCGTCAGTAATCTGGGAGTTAAAATGGAGGCAGATCTTAAACTTGAAGGCCAGCTCAGAGCTGTTGTAAGATATAACTTTTTTCATTTCAGGCAATTAGCCAAAGTAAAGCCCATCTTATCGAAACGGCTTTGTGAGGCAGTAGTCCACGCCTTTGTTACTTCTAGGCTGGATTATTGTAACACACTTTATTGTGGGGTTAGCGATGCGTCCATTAGGCGTCTGCAGGTTGTGCAAAATGCTGCAGCACGTCTTTTGACTGGAACAAAAAAGTCTGAGCACATTACCCCATTTTAATTTCACTCCACTGGCTACCTGTACATTTTAGGACTGTTTTTAAATCCCCCCCACCTGTTGGGTAACAGGCATCTCCGAAAACATTAGAGCAGTTATGCAAATATGTGATGTCTTGATGAACCGAGCAGGTATTTGAAGTTTACACAGAAACATTCTCACATGAAAATATCTTAAGTTTATTTTGTGACCCAGACAGAGTAATATTTCAAACTCCGCCCCTCTGTGTTCCTCCGCCACTGCCTCGTTTGAGTTTTGGACCAAATGCATTCTGGGATATTGCATTTCGTCATTTCGAGCTGATTGGAGACCAGAACAGCCAATCAGATTTTTTTGCACAAATATAACGGTGTAGAGAAAGAGTTGAGCGCGCACGGGCAGAAATGTTGAGAGCGCGAGCAACACACTGCGAGCGAGCGCAAATGCAAAAACTGAGCAAGAGGGGCTGCTGTGTGTGTGTGTGTGGATAACAGCAAACACTGAAGCACAGTTTTTGCAGGAATGAATTTTGTTCACTCAGATTTAGCTTTTCTTCGCTCAAAATAAATTTCTCCACAAAATGCAACACTTGCACCTGCAACCGTTTTTACGTGCACTCAGAATAGTGGCACAAAAATAACGCCATATGCATGAAGTGTGATTTTTATCGTGGTGAAAGCAAAACTAAGAGTGAATCCATGACGATGTTTACGTGAAGCGTAGTTTGGATCTTCTTTTGCTGCTGGTTCAGTCAATATTGTTCGGAGAGAGATCAAACCTGCAGCTTCTGAATCAGCGCAAAAAGGGCGTGAACACAAAGCGCTGAGCCGCCAAAACATCAGAATCAGCGAGCTGTCGGCTTTCAGCCCCGACCGTGTCCGTGCCGTCGGGGGCGACAGCTCGCTGATTCTGATGCGTCGGCGGGTCCGAGCTTTGTGTCTGTTCTCATTTACTGTTTTAGCTGTTTGGTGGTTGTTGAAATTTTGTGAGGTTTAATTCGAGATTCTGGCGTTTTGAGCAAAATTAATTAATATTTAAAAATTGATTCAGGATTTTAATGAATCGATATCACGTTATCCAAGCCAGAATCGATTTTAATCGAATAATCCACCCTAGTGGCAATAAAAGTGATTTGATTTGATTTGATTTAGTGGAAGCCTATCCTTTTCCAGATTAAAAGTGAAATAATCTAGAATATTGTGTCAATTAAATTAGGTTAATGTTTCAAAATATAACAAAACGTTTTCACAAGCCAGTAAAAATATAGATGGGCCATTAGGTCATAAGAACTCTTAATTTGGGCGAATCCTCACCACCTCTCATTTAAACTACATATGTGCTCTCAATCTCATCTCCTTAAAGCTTGGGTTCTCTAAGTGTGGCCTGTGGGTTGTTAGTGGCCCCTTCAAACATTGTTTTCGGCCTGTGGACTTTGAGAACTCCTGGCAGCAGAGGGTGAGAGTCTGCTGAGCTGGTAAAGGCGTGTGGCGGTCTCCGGTTGGTTAGCACTTCATCAGAGTGTTTTGGTGTTTTATGAGGAATCATTAATCTTGGTGGTCCAAAGATCCAAAGGCCGTTTGCTGAGAACACTTTTGTTGCAAGAACTGAGCACTAAAGCAGCTCATGCTAACCCCTGACCCGTGTTTGTCCCTCAGTGACCTGATGGGAGCCCTGAGCCACACATTGAACCTTACTGAACAGACTCTGGTCCAGGTGGAGGACTTGGACTTTGCTGCAGGAGCTAAACGAGACACTGTGATGTCAGAGGCACAGAAGCTGGAGGGGACAGTCCAGGAGCTCCTGGACCAGGTCGAGTTCATCAAGAACTCCGACATCAGAGGTAAAGGGTTAAAGGTCACAGGGAAACTAGGTGGGCCAAGGAGTACTAAAATAGGTAGTACAGGGATTTCAGAATTTAAATAAAGTTGCCTTCAGCTGATTTTGACTTTCGGTGTGTTGCTAGGTGCAACAGACAGCATCACTAAGTACTTCCTGCAGTCCCAGGAGGCCGAGGCCCGAGCTAACGCCTCCACCATCGACAGCGGCAGCCCGGTCGAAGCCTCTGCTGCTCTACGGCAGCTCACAGAAGACAAACTGAACCAGACCCGAGAGAAGTTCATGAAGAGACAGTCTGAGCATGCTCAAAAACTGGATGACCTGGCAGGAGAACTGCAGAGTCTGGACCTAGCAGAGCTCAGCAGCAAGGTGGGAGAGCGGCACAGGTCAGGTTGACAGAGTTCGGTGTATTACAAACACAAACGTTTGTTAGTTTCAGTATAAACGCATGAACACTGAGTGTTGTCTGTCCTGGTTCTGCCAGACCTGTGGCAGTCCATCTTTGGGTCAAGACGCATGCGGGTCTTCTTCCTGCGGTGGTCTGGGCTGCGTGAATCCTGAGGGCAGGGCCAGGTGTGGAGGAGAAGGCTGTAGTGGTGCGGTAGCAACGGCCAACAGTGTCCTGAGGAAGGCTCGGGACTCTGAACAGGAAATTGTCCATGCCATGGAGGAAGTGGAGAAGCTGTCTAAGATGGTGGGTGTGAGCCCTGCTGCTCCGTGTTCACTCCAGGTGAACTGTGCTGGGTTTTCTCACCTGAGTTTTGTCCTCAGGTGTCAGAAGCAAAGCTACAGGCGGACAAGGCCAGGCTGAGTGCTCAGAACGTCCTGATGAAGACCAACAGGACCAAACAGAAAGTTGACCAGAGCAACGAGGAGCTGCGCAGCCTCATCAGACACATCAGAGACTTCCTCACCCGTATGTGTCACTTCCTGTTTGGTTCAAATGCCTCTGTAGTTACGGTTACATCAGTTTTCCCAGAGACAATCAGGAGAGATCATTGGAAGGAAGTGAAATTGATTCATTGGCATAAAGACTTCAGTTAAGGTATTTAGCGATTAGGTTCTAACGACCTATTGAAGCACAGTTGCACGCAGGCTGTGACAGGGACCCCGTAGAGTCTAGACATCGGTGGTGGAGATGAAGATGGCTTGATGGAGCCTGAGCAACATGGCAGAGGGTTAGGGGGGTGGGTTGCACAAAGGTGCACTGAGACTGAAAGTAGAGTCCAGGCTGATTAGACTACAGATGATTGGACTAGAGCGGTAACGTTGTATCACTGTGAGAAAGTGATGTAATCGTAGATGAACCACCAAACAGCTGGACAGCAAACAGATGTGTGACTACAGATCTTCCTTATTGAACGTAACTATAAGCTTCTTTTTATGAACGCCATGTCTGATGGTGACCATTATGCTCCCCGCCCTCTTCTCCTGAATGGAACACGTTTTTATTTCAGGAAAAACTAAATCAGTCAGACTCTGTTTTTCCTGAATCATTATTAAGATGCTTTCTTTTCAAAAGCAAATTCACATTTCATGTTGAACAAACAGCCCTCTTACATAATATTAGCAGGCTTCTTACAGCCTGCTCAACCGTCACATGACATTACGGGAAAAAAATCTATCCAGGTTATAGCCGACACCTGGATCCAAAGCTGCTTCCAGTGCTTAATACAACCAAAACTCCCTAACTGATGGAAAAGAAAATCAATGTTGAGTTTTGTTCTTGTATTTCTGCAGGTCTCATAGATCCTGTTTAACAAACATGAACTCAGAAGCTCTCTCTGTCTGTGCAGCAGCATTAAAGGATCCTAGATCATGTAGTGTACATGAAATCATCAGAAACTAAACCATCTACTCTTGTGTGTCTGGGACACTCTCAGAGGCCGACGCGCTCACAGACTCGTTCCTTCGTGTCATCTGCTGCGTACGACACATTAAAGAAACCGCACCATAAGAACCTGCGTAGTGTAAGCTAACGAACGCTGAAATCATTTCGGATAACTGGTTTCTGGTAACTTGACAAGCTTTCAGACACGGTTGGATAGACTGAGAATAATTTCGGGTATTTATTTTCATTGATCGGAGATTAAAAGTTCTTTTTAAAGAGGCTGGCTGCAGATAAACTGACTGCATTTGTGGCACTTCAGAGGACGCTGCAGATCTTGAGAGCATTGAACTTGTGGCAAACGAGGTTCTGGACATGCAGATGCCAACCACGCCGGCTCAGCTGCAGAACCTGACCGACGAGATCCGGCAGAAAGTGGGAGAACTGGGACATGTGGAAAACATCCTGCAGGAAAGTGCCGACGACATCCAGAGGGCCGACAAGCTGCTGGACGAGGCTCGCCGAGCCAGGTGAGATTTACCTGTCCATCAGTAATGTTTGCCTGGTTTGCTTCAGCTTCAGGGGATGATATCTTACAAGTTCTCCAGACTGAAATCTGTCTTTCTTTCAGAAGGGATGAATGTTGTTGCAGCTCAACAGGATGCTTTTGGTAGCCATTAACAAGCTTCTGTCTGGTATCTGAATTCATTCGTTCATAGTTTGTCTTCCTGGCACCGACCCAGCCTTTAAGTATACTCCACAAACTGATCCTGTTCTTGAATATCTTACCCATTTTTCTCTCTTCTGTGACAACTTGGATCTTCTTCCAGACCTCTGCAAATCAGTTGCATATCGGAAAAACTCGTGCTTGCGTACACTTGTTTCAAATTATTGTCTTGAAATATGCTGTTATTTTCTGTTTGTTTTTGGTAGTGTTTGCATGTAGCCCATTCGTGTCCGTGATGAGTGAATGGATGAACCTCCTGCCCACAGCTGTACGCGTTTCTCTGCTCACACACAGCTACATTTGCTTTCCTTCCTTTAACGAGCGGCTTCTGAGATGAAGAATCTCTTCTGTGTCAATGCCCTGAGCCGACACGCGTAAGAGTGGCCGAGCTGGGTTCAAGCCAGGAGACCCTGTGAGGCAGCGGTGCTAACCACTGAGCTACTTCACTGTGGCCAGTTTGGATTCAGGAGACAGACACTATCTCAAGATTAGGCTTCAAACTTTCCTTTTTGCTAAAGCATACAGTTAGGGCTGGACCAGGTGACCCTGAATCCTCCCTTAGTTATGCTGCAATAGACGTAGGCTGCCGGGGATTCCCATGATGCATTGAGTTTTTCCTTTCCAGTCACCTTTCTCACTCACTATGTATTAACAGACCTCTCTGCATTGAATCATATCTGTTATTAACCTCTGTCTCTCTTCCACAGCATGTCTTTATCCTGTCTTCCTTCTCTCACCCCAACCAATCACAGCAGATGGCCCCGCCCCTCCCTGAGCCTGGTTCTGCCGGAGGTTTCTTCCTGTTAAAAGGGAGTTTTTCCTTCCCACTGTCGCCAAAGTGCTGCTCATAGGGGGTCATATGATTGTTGGGTTCTTCTCTGTATCTATGAAGCGCCTTCAGGCGACTTTTGTCAGTTTTTATATGTCACTGGGCAAGCACTGTTTGCCTTGCTTGTCCTATATAAATAAAATTGAATTGGCTGCATTTAGCTACGTGCAGTGAATTAAAGCGACCCTGCCTACCTTGCTGTGCTGTTGGTCATGATCAGAGAGCTCAGGCTGCCTTTTTGTCAGAGTTTCTCAAAGTTTTAACAGCTGGTACAATGAATTAATGATTAATAAATATTGATAGCAGCACAGTTTGTCTTATCAATACTGCAGTATTTACTAACAGGTCAAATTTATTGATTAAAAGGCCTGAACGTAGGGATGGGAATGGAGAACTGGTTCCCAGTAGTCCAATTCCTTGTTCCTATCGATCACGCTTATCGGGTCTTGCAACCTCGCTACAATCAGCTGATTTCCGTTTGTGTGTCAGAGGAAAATAGTAGTGCCGTCTCCAGTGGGGACATGACTTTTATTTTTATGGCATTAAAGGATGAGAGCACGATGGTAAAGTGGAGACTGCTCCAGGACAGAAACAGCTCCATTATGATGCTAACAGACTTCAGCTCTTTGCACAGACAGCATGCTAACTCTAAGCTAGCCAAGAACCCAGAATGATGCTAAAGCTGAGTGTGTGCAGACCTCAGCCCAGCACCCAGAGCCTGAACTTCAACAGGGAACAAACTGTTGAGCAGTCAGGCTGCAGCCTCTGTCTGTTCATGCTTCTACAGTAGAATCACCATGACGACCGCTGTGTTCATACCTGAACACTAAGAGAAAGATGATGTGTGTCCTCATCAGGACAGGCTTCGTGTCGGTGTGGGGCTGAAGCCTCAGGTTTATAGTGTTAAATGATGAGTTTCAGTTTATTTTACGGAGAAACTTGAAAATAATGTAACAAATTTCTTTCTCCTGGGTGTAACTAAGTAACTACTGCATTACTTTAAAGAAAAGTGTTCTGTGTAATATGTGCAATAATTACTTTGTTGAGTAACAGCGCTGATCACAACAAACACCTCCAACATGCACAAACATGTGACCCGCAGCAGGGGCGATCGTGGCTCAAGAGTTGGCAGTTCGTCTTCTAATTGGAAGGTTGCCGGTTCGAGCCCCGGCTCCTTGGGCAAGACACTTCACCCGTTGCCTACTGGTGGTGGTCAGAGGGCCCGCTGGCGCCAGTGTCCAGCAGCCTCCCCTCTGTCAGTGCGCCCCAGGGCGGCTGGCTACAATGTACCTTGCCATCACCGGTGTGTGGATGTGTGTGTGAATGGGCGAATGAATGTTGTGTAAAGCGCTTTGGGGTCCTTAGAGACTAAGTAAAGCACTATACAAATGCAGGCCATTTACCGCAGCAGGCAGTGTATGTGACCATTCACAGTGACTGTCCATGAGTGTAATGTCTTTGAGAGGCTGCTTAGAGATGGTGAAGCCAATGAAAATCAATAGGAATCGAATAGATAAGTGATTTTGATAATGGAACTGGAATCACTAAATTCAGATTCCCTGGCCTACCTGAAAGTTTCACCTGTCCACTGAACCTGATCAGCTGTCTTCCTGCATTCCTCAGCGAGGAGGCGCGTGATGTCAGAGACTCTGTGGAGAAAGTGAAGCGAGCACTGGAAGAAGCTCAGAGAGCTCAGACGGCTGCCAGCAGTGCTATCCAGCAGGCCACGGCCAACATCCACAACACCAGCCACCTGTTGTCCTCGGTGAGTCTCACGGTTACTGCCTGTTGACTCTGCACACGGCTATTTGCAGCTATCTGCACGCTGTGCAATGACAATGAAGAGTTATCTTATCTTATCTTATTTCCTATCAGAAACATGCAGGTAACATGTCAAATGCCCGTGTTGTGTTCAGGTGGAGTCGGAGACGGCAGATGCTGAGTTAAAGCTTTCAAATGCCACCCAGAGGCTGCAGAAGCTCGAACAGGATGTGACGCTGTTGAAGGAGAAAGCTGTGAACGTTACTCTTAGTGCCAAACTGACCAATCAGGAATCAGTGAGCGTCAGAAGCACGGCAGAGGAGCTGAAGAAGGTGAGCTCACCTGTGTGATCATTAGAGGCTTTCAGGTTGGTCTGTTTCCTTTGTAACATTAGGTGTTTGTGTTAGGAGCTGGACAGCGAGCTGAAGGAGAAGTATGCCACCGTGGAGCAGCTTATTGGTCAGAAGACGGGAGGCATGGTTGACGCCAAGAAGAGGGCACAGTCACTTCAGCAGGAAGCCAAAGAGCTGCTGCTGCAGGCCAGTGACAAGCTGCAGCTGCTGAAAGGTGACACCACACTGTACTCCTACAGAAAATGTTTCAAGCTGAGCAGGCGGGACATCCCTTCATGTATGCTCTTCCCATTTCAGATTTGGAGAAGTCTTATGAAGACAACGAGCGCGCTCTGGAGCAGAAGGCAGAGCAGCTGGTGGAGCTGGAGGCAGCAGTGAAGGGGCTGCTGCAGGAGATCAGCCACAAGGTGACCGTCTACAGCACCTGTGTGTTTTAGGATCGAAGGTGACCGAACGTCTCGAAGACAAGAACTGCTCCGCTTGTATTTTCTTCTATAGTTTTTACTCCCATGTTTAATCCTCGTGTTAATCTCAATAAAAAGATCAAATCAGACTCAGTTTGCTACTCATTTATTTCGACAGGTAATTTTACCTGATTGTCACCAGCAGTCGGTAAAACTGAACTCCTGGTTAAATATATAATTCTGCATATTTCCAGTTTACAGCAATGACACGTGAAGGGGTGAAAGCAAAGTATTCTATATATTGCACGCCCTTTGTTATTTTAGATTGTAAAATGTAAGATTGGTCAAAATCTTTGCTTCTTTTACTTCATTGTTACTTCATTTTGTTTCTTTTGCAATATTTTATTTGACGATTCCTGTAACTGTGAAGTCGTGTGATCCGCAGCTGAGATTGGATTAATTTAATAAGCTTTGTTTTTCCAAAACTATGGCCATTACCACTACTGTGCTGCCTGTGCAGGTCAGCGGCCGGCCCGGGTTCGAATCCTTTGCCGCATGTCTTCTCTCTCGCTCTGTTTTCCTGTCACTCTTCACTGTTGCTATCAAATAACACCAGAAAAAAGGGCCAAAAAGAAAAGGCTAGCATCAATTAGCACAGAGCTAGCTAATGTCAATGTAACTCAGGGGGCTGTTACTGAGATTGGAGATGTAGACTGTTGACCAACAGGTGATGAAAGTGGAGAAATGGGCCCTGTACTGAATGAAGATGCACTCAGCTGCCTGGTTAACTCACTACAGACTAGGGTTGCCAACCGTCCCTTAAAA